AAGAACAAGATGGGTGGTGCCCATGTTGGAAAGTTTCTAATATTAGAGTTGAGAACCACTTCTTTGTCTGGAGGACCTGGACTTATCAAGTCACTTGAAGGGCCATCCATCCCACCTGACCTCGAGTTGAACAAAACTTTTACAGTGTCATTTCCTTGCACATGCAGAGAATTTGCTTTCTTACACAAGTACTTCCCAAACTTAGAACAGTGCTAAGCACTCAGGTATTGTCTCCACTTATTTATAATCATCCTCTTTTACTAGAAACCAATTAGAATACAAAGCATTTCCCAGAGAGCTCCAGGAGTTGCCTTAAATGAACAATACGTGGAAAAGCCTGGGCCACTAACATTAGGCTAATGTCCAGCTTCCTTCCTGCACATCCTCTCATTTAAGGTGTTGACGTGATTGTCTCGGGCTTTCAGCAGGTATGATACTCAGATGACCTCGGATGCTCCTTCTGCAACCAGAGCACAGGGAAGAAAAAAACTGTAAAGCAACTGGTCCTTTTACAAAACTGGTCTTTGAGGGAAAAAAGGCACAAAAATATGTTCACATTGAGATTTTATAGTTTTTAGAAAGACAGTTTCTAAGAGGCATTGTCAGGCTGGTGTACAATCAATTCAAAGATCTCCAACCCTTCTATCTCTGTGTAAGGCAGGACAATGAGTACTCGTGTTCACGTAATGGCCTTGAGGCTCCGGGGGATCTTCGATCTTCACTGAACCAGTCAATTACATCTGCTCTATGGGCATCACTAAGGCCGCCAAGTAGAACAATACATTTTGTAGTAATTCCTTTCGAAGACTGAACCCAGAAGGCTTTCTGTCTAATTCTAAAGGTAACAAGAAATAGATGAAGAAATATCAGAAATATTTTCTGATCAGTCAAGGTTTCCTGGTGTTCAGGAAGGAGTGTTGTCTGGATGGCCCCTGAGGTACTTGGAAAAATCTACATCATTGATTGAATAATGTCCCAACAAGTAAACAAAGAACCAACTCACCTCAAGGTAGCTGAGGATGCAATACTTCTGGGCTCCGTCTAGCCCGCAGGTAGAAGAAGCCATGAGCTGCGAGCTACGGCCCACCAGGAGATCGCCGGTGGTGGGATGACAGGCATCCCTGCGGCATTCATCTTGAGCCTTCGTGCAACTGAGCAACCCTTGAACACAACAGAAACAGCTACATAGAAGGCAGTCTAAGGGTAGCAGAAAGCTTAAAGAAGCAACTGGTTAAGTTGGAAAGTTAACAGTCTGTTTATTTTTAATATCAGTTCTATTATTGATCATTAAGACCCTGGCCATGGATGCTATTGGTGCCCTCAACCTGATGGAAATCTCTTAGCTTGGGGGGTTATACCATGTTCATGTCCTTACCTGCACCAGCCTGTAGCCAGTGAGTGATGGATACATAGTTCAAAAGGCTGGCACCATTGCCCCAGGCTGGTATCAACTCTGTGGTGCAATTTATGCTCAGAACCTCTCCGTAGGAGGAGGCTGAAGGCTGACTGCAGCTGGGACAACACCCTGGCTCCACTTCCCTCACTCTCTACTCCTCAGAACACTCCCTCAATAAATCACTTGCACACGAATCCCTGTCTCAGGTTGTGCTTCTAGGAAACCTGATCTGAGACAGCCTCTATTTACTGGGAATTCTCTGTGTGTCATTTTAGGGCAAATAAGGAAGACTAATGCATAGACACAAGGAAGGAGAATCCTAATCCTGCCTTTTATACCTGTAGTTCCAACTTGTACAAAATCAATTGGAGAATTTCAGAAATCTTTACGAAATAACTTTCTCTTAAAATATGTAAATTCAATTGACTCCCTTTATAACCTAGATTGTTGGGTTCAGATACGCCACGGAACAAATCATGCCACTTTGGGATAAAGGGAGAGATGGAGTTCCAGTCTACACAGCACACTTAGCCCTTGATACCTGTAGTCTGACAGATCTGTCATGAAGGGATTTGGTCAAAAGTGAGACCATTGCAAGGGCACCCCTATCTCAATTGTCACCTCAATTCTCCACTTTACTTTTCTGAAATAATATCCTTAACTCTAGGTTTAAAAACTATTTTTAAAATTCTATTTGTTTTAAAATGTTAAATTCTGAATTAAGATAACTGTTAAATCTCTATATGGGAATTTGGGGTGGGTAGGGTAATCTGGACTATTTCTTGCCTGCATGGTTTGCCTGCAGGGTTTGCTCTGTTATGTTAAAGTTATACTTTTGTAATCCATATCATATTAATAGATTTGTTTATTGTTGGGAAGATTGAATAAAACAAAGTAGAATTTTACTGAATCCTAATCTAAAGTTAACACACATATAAAGTGAAATGCATGTGTAATGTGTGTCCACTGTGATATTTCATTGATAGCCATTCATAGAATTTATAGAAAGTTATATTTCTTTTTTCAAAAAGTATATTTGAACAAGACAGTATAGTATCTTTTAAAATTCAATTAAAGTGTGAGAATTCTGTTTGATTCTCAAGGCCAAAATCTAGGCACTATTTTTCTCTTGATTGCAATTCAAATTACAGACACGACAGTTTTGCAGAAATACAATAGCCTCTGGATGGAAAGGCACAGGACCTAGAATAGCTAAAACACTTTTGAAAATCACCCTACCTGATATTAAGGCTTACTATATAGTTATAGTAAACAAAAGAGTGTAATATTGGTGGAGGGATAGACCCATAGATCAATGGAACAGAATAGAGAATCCACAAATCGACCCACACAAATATGCCCAACTGATTTTTGAGCTGCAAAGGCAATTCAATGGAGGAAGGATAGCCTTTTCAAGAAACGGTGCCGGAGCAATTGGACATCCATAAGCAAAAAAATAAACTGTAACCGGAACCTTACACCTTACACAAATATTAACACAAAATGGATCATGGACTTAAATGTAAAATATAAAACTATACAGCTATAAAACTATAACACATAGGAGAAAATCTTTGGAACTTAGGGCTAGGTGAGGAATTTTTAGAATTGGCAACAAGAGCATGATCCATAATAGAAAAAATTGGTAAATTGGACCTCATCAAAATTAAAAACTTGTTCTGAGAAAACCTTGTGAAGAGGTGAAAAGGCAAGCTACAGACTGGGGGAATATAATTGCAAATCACATATGTGACAAAGCTCTTGATCTAGAATATGTAAAGAGCTCTCAAACTGAACATTAAAAAACCAATCCAATTAGAAAATGGCAAGTGACAAGAAAGACATTTCACTGAAGAAGATATACAGATGGCAAATAAGCACCTGAGAAGATGTTCAACAACATTTGCCCTCAGGGAAATGCAAATCAAACCCACAATGAGATATCACTCCATGCCTATCAGGATGGCAAAAATGAAAAATAGTGATAACACCAGATGCGGGAGGGAATGTGGAGAACCTGGATCACTCATACACTGCTGGTGGGAATATAAAATGGTGCAGCCACTCTGGGGAAAAGTATGGTGGTTTCTTATAAAACTAAGCATGTGCTTATCATTCAATCCAGCAGTTGCACTCTTAGGTATTTATCCCAGAGAAATTACAATTTATGTTCACACAAAAACCTGTATATAAGTGTGCATAGCATCTTTATTTATAATAGCCAAAAACTAGAAACAACTCAGATGTCCTTCAATGGGTGAATGGTGGTTAAGCAAAGTGTGGTACCTCCATACCATGGAATAGTACTTAGCAATAAAAAGGAGCTACACACAACAACCTGGATGAATCTCAAAGGGATTACACTGAGTGAAAAAAGCCTATCTCAAAGGGTTATATACTGCGTAATTCTATTTCTTGAATGACAAAATTATAGAGATGGAGAACAGCCTTGTGATTGTCAGGGGTTAGGGAGGCAGGGAGGGAGGGAGTGGGTGCAGGTATGAGGGGGTAGTACTAGGAATCCTTGAGTTAACAGAACTATTGTGTGTGTTAGCTATGGTGATGGCCACACAAATCTATACATGTGATAAAAATTTCATAGAATTAAATACACACACACATACAGACACACACACACACACACAAAAGAGTTCATGTAACACTGGTGAAATCTGAATGAGGTCAGTGGACTATTTCAGTGTCAATTTCCTAGTTGTGATACTGTTACCATTGGGGGAAATTGGGTGAAGAGTATATGGGATTCTTTCTGTATTATTTCTTACAACTGCATGAAAACCTGCAATTATCACAAAATAGAAAGTGAAAAAAACCCAAACAATTCTCTCTCCCCTCAAAATCACCCCATCAGCTTCTAAATGGTGAATCAAGTAAATCCCACACTCTAAAATAATACACACATGACCTGTTCCAGCTGCTCTTATATACTTTTCCCTCGAGACATGAAAATTTATGCCAAGCCCTGATTGCAGCAGATGGGAGTGTGAGGGATGGGCCTAAAATGAAAAATAATCACCGTATTGTGGAATAAGCTTGGTTTCTCCTCAGTTTTCTCAATTGTAAAAATACAAAGAAAGAATTTTTTATGGACTTGTTTTGCGTTTAATGGATTTCTTTCCTTCAACTTGCCCTCCAAAAATATACACGATTGAAAAATTATGTTTTTTCCCTTATGTACACATTCCCCACATGAACTGTTCTAGTAACATGGTCATTCCGTGATTATTGTCAGGCATTAAACATACACAGATCATAGTTCTACAGCCAAGAATATGAAACACAATGCCTCCTTCCCCACAGGTTACCAAGCGGCAGTTTGAACAGGGAATTTTCTATTCTCAATCTCATTGCAAAGATTATTATTCTAAAGCAAAGGCACAACATTTCTTTCTCTTTCTTTGAGGTAGATATGTGAAGAAAGTTAGCTCCAGCATCTCGTTTTTATTTCATTGTATAATAAATGATCCTAGATTAGTTAACATGGATTTTTCCTTTTATTTACCCAACAAATCCAGATTTCCTTTTATTTCCTAGAATTGGCATCTAGGATAAATAACTAATCAGAAGTTTGGACTCCAGTAGACAGAGGCTTTTTAAAAGAAGGTCAGGTATAAGATCTCTGATAACGCCACGTGTCGGTTAACTAAGTCTTCCCTTCCAGGGATTTATTCCTTTAGACAAGTTCCATCCTGAATTCTTTTATTGGAATTGTTGCCTAAAGATTAAACATGTTTTTATAATCTGACTTCGCCAAACTTGTTTTGATCAGATGGTACTTTTCAGAAATAAAAGTATTCCACAACTTAGGGAAATTGAACTAGTATTTGTGTAATATTACAACTGTAAATAGGAACTTCTGGTCGAAAATACTTGGCAAAAAGTGGCTAGAAACATAAGTAATTAAAGCCTCATGCCCAAACTGGACTCAGCAACATTTTTCCTGGATTGAAGCCTTCAACTGCAGGATTATCACATTAGTAAGAGGTTGGAATTGATTCAGAAAATAAAGATGTTTATGCCTTTAGAAAATCAATGTATTCCTTAGAAATGACATACAACTTGACATAGAATCTTATTAAAAATGAATTTAGGAGATCTTGTCATTTAAGGAAAATGCACAGCAAATTTTCTATAAAGTGAAGGATCATTTTGTAGAAATAACTATTATTATATAATCTCTCTACTTAGTAATTTTGTATATTGTTATAATTTTCTTAAACAAGTGAAATGTTTCCATATACTTTAGAGTTCACTCAGAGTTTTAGAGGCTGTAAACACAGACACATTTATGTGCTCACACACATTATTTATTATGGGTAAGAAAATGCACAGAGAATGTACATTAGATAAGTTTGTACTTTGCATCCAGTTCCCAAAACCTGGGGCCAATGCATGTTTTATGATTTTTTTCTCCTTAAGGTCTTTTGTGTATGTGTGTGTGTGTGTGTGTGTGTGAGGAAGGTCAGCCCTGAGCTAACATCCATGCCAATCCTCCTCTTTTTGCTGAGGAAGACTGGCCCCGGGCTAACATCCGTGCCGATCTTCCTCCACTTTTATATGGGACGCCGCCACAGCATGGCCTGACAAGCAGTGCATCGGTGTGTGCCCGGGATCTGAACCCAGGCCACCAGCAGCAGAGCGCACGCACTTAACCACTATGCCACGGAGCGGGCCCCTCTCCTTATGTTCTTTAGTGAGAACGCAAGACAAAGTGTTTGAGTAGGCTCCAGTATATATATAAATGCTTATGGACCAACTACAAACCAGGACATGCACAAGCTGATGACATGGGATTAAGCTGGTTGGTAGCTCCACCACAAGCAACCCTAAAGATTTGGTCTGGGGTTCTCTGATCTATTGCAGCTAATTTAGTTTCAAAGATCTTCTGTCCTGAGAGAGGGGTCTCCCGATTGAGGAGGACTCTCTGCCAACTGTGGAGTGGGTTAGAACCTTAGCAAGGTGTAACGTATCCCGTATAGCGGCTGGGGAGAAGGCTCTCACGGGTTGCTTTTGATTTTGAATACTGGTTTAGTCCCGAAGAGAACACCTAAGGCAGATGTAGATTAAAACAACTCTTCTCTGACTATCTGAGGCCAGATCTCAGCTTCTGAGTCCTGGGGGGCAGCATAACAATTCTCCTCGCCCACTGGCTTGTGGCTCACCTCTCTGAGGCAGAGAATTTTCAATGAACAAATGAGCATTTACTGTCTAGAGCTGTTCTTTCCTCCATTACCGGCAAATATAACTGGGAAACTGCCTCAGGGCAGTTTTTGCAAAATTAAAAGATGAGATTCTTAAAGTTTGCTGCTGTGAAGAAATTCAGCATGAATCTTTGAACAGAAAATTCTAGGCAATTTAGTTAGCGCTCAGTAACCAAAAGCAGGGCTGTTATAGATATAGCAAAGTCAGGATCAAAGAGAGTAATTGTTGGAAATATCTTCTCTATGACTAATGTAAATTATTCTCAGCTTATTAAAGACAGCAGAGGCATGGGAAATTCAGTCTTTTAGCTCAGAGCTGCTGCTTACTGTGACAAGGGAATTTTGCCTATAACTCTTCACGAGCCCTCATCACTGGGACAAATGCTACATTCAAAGCAGAGTGATCTTTTAAAAATTAAAAAAAAAATTTTTTAATTAAAATGCATTATATTTGTAAATTTAAGAATCTGAAAGTATTTTACTTTTTTAAGTATGTTACTTTACTTACGTATCTGCTAATGATAATATTCCATTAAAGAGTGATAGAAGTAGCTATGTGTGGATATTAAACATGTTTGAGTGGAATTTTCCAGTGGCTTGACACAATTTTACAACAGATGAGCTTTACAAATATATATTAGTATAGAAAAAAGGAGGCGGATATGTTTAAAAACTATTTCTACTAAATACTCGAGAACAATTCAATTTAAGCAGAAAATGGATTTTGACAACTAATACTCACCAAGGTGCAAAAAGAAGGTCAGTTGAAATTGCATTCTTTTATCAGGAAATGATTAAATTCAATTCTGCTAGGTTAAAAAAAAAGATTAAAATCAGTCACTGATGGAATCAATAATTGCCATCGATTTTCAATGATTTGAAAATTTGTCAGATGGCTGTTCCCTTTAGGGACACAAAATACCTACAGTATCCAGTTCCTTAAAAAATAAGAGTGTATTCAATTTTTGCAAATATTTGTTTTCTATTTTTTGAAATCACAGAATGCGATCATTTGTGGGAAAAATATGAAACAAATATAATTTCCTTTTCATATTTTCATTTTAACCTATTTTTGCTCATTCTTATTACTTAGAAAAAATTTTTAAATTATACAATTGATATGTACTCATTATTGAAAAAAATAGAAAAATCAGACAGGCAAAATGAAGGAATTATTATCCATAGTACCACCACCCAGAGAAAAGTGGTTAATATCTCGCTATATGTTCTTCCATACTTTTTTCCTTGCATATAAATATTTTCCAAAAATGATATCATACTGTATGCTTGTTCAATCAATAGATCCCAGACACCTTTCTGTAGGAGCAAATGCATTTTTACATCAGTGATTTTCAACCTTGTGAGAGACATCAGGGTCACCTGGGGCTTCCAAAAACCAAGGCTACGTCCCTCGTGTAGATTTGGTTGTGCCCCTCTAGATAGAGGGCCCCCAAGTCATGCTGTGGCGAAGCCTGGTACAGATGGGAGTGGACATGCACCTCACTGGGCTGGGAGGAGAGGAGGAAAATGCTCTCCAGCAGCAGTGTTTTAAATTACTGGGTAATATTCCTCTGAACGCAGGAACCAGAACTTAAGGAATCCCCTATTGGTTGATGGGTGCTTTGTTTCTAATAATTTCCTGTTATAAATATTTTCGCTAAATCTTTGTTCATATCCTTAATTATTCCCCAGGATATATTAAATGGAGTGAAAATAATGGATCAAAAAGCATATATGTGTGAGTGTGTGTGTATACAGACATATATATGTGTATATAAAGAATACATATACATGTACATATATGCATACACACTACATGTGTGTATATACAGACACACATGTATATACAGAGTACATATGCACCCATACTGCATGCATGTGTGTTTATATAGCCACATATGCACATATGTTACACGCATATATGTACATATACAGATGTATATGTATATAAAAAGTAAAGACATGCACATATACATACTACATGTATGCATGTGTATACACATAGGTGTGTATATAAAAGTACACATGTATGTATACATATTATATGTATGTGTGTATACAGACATATATGTGTATATAAAGAGCACACATATATATGTATAATACTACATACGTCTATGTGCATACAGATATATATGTTATACAAACAGCACACGTATGTATACATATCACGTGTGTGTATACAGACACATGTGTGTATACAAGGAGCACATATGTATATACATACTATGTGTATGCATGTATGCAGGCATGTATGCGTATATAAAGAGTACATATATATGCATATATGTATACATACTACATGTATTTGTGTGCATGTATATAAAGTTTTTGATGTTACTGTCAAACTGCCATGTGGAAAGTTTGTCCCAATTTACACTCTCACCAACAGCTTATGGGAACAACTGTTGACCTGAGCCCTTGACAACATTGAATATTATGAATTTTTTAAATTTTGTCAATTTAAAAAGCAAAAAATTATACCTCATATTATTTTAATATTTTTATTTGAACAGTAGTGGATACAAAAATATTTTTCATGTATTTACAGGTTTATTCTCCTGAGCCCACAGTCTTAATCCTTCTGCTCTTACACGCCTGTACTCTAGCCTTAGTACATCATTTCCTGCTTCTGTATCCTCTTCTCACGCTGTTTGCTTTGCCTTGAATGCCACCCTCCTAAACTCTAATTCCAGCCTCATTTTGAAGTCTTTTTATAGTGTTTTGAAATGCCTGATTTTAGGCAAATTTCCCATTGTGTGATCCAAGCTCTTTACACAGCCTGGGGTTCATTTCAGACATCCAATGTCATAGGAAAATGACTCCCTGAGATGCAGTCACCCCATAGCATCTCCATCTGAAAATGAGCTCTATCTGTTATAAAAGTCTGCAATTTTAAACTAATGAGCTTATATAAAACCTTGTGAAGACCTATGGAAGAATATAGAATGCAGCCTTAGAAAGGTCCATTCTGTATGGGCACCTGAACCTGAGTACCTTTTCTAGATGGTGTTTCCTGTTGCCTTTTCCTCAGTCAGGGATGTAGTTTCCGTCCACTATCCAGCTATACTTTTGATAACACGACATCCCCAATCCTGATGTCCTGGACTCAGAACTCCCGCCTGCGTGCTTCATTCCGTTCAGAAATGTAGAAAGATTGACAGCGTGGTTTTCCTTTTCATAAGGATGGGCAATATAAGCAAAGTTTAAAAATATGATTCTCTATAACTAAAGAAACTCAATTCAGTGAGATTATGATCTATGCGAATAGCCTATGATCTGTGGAATTCAGGGCTTAAAATACTCTAGGCTCTGGGTTGATGAAGGTAACTAAAGAGCTATGTGGAAAATATCTGTTTGTCCCCAATGGGGAACTCATTCACAGGGCAGACTCCAAACTGAAAGACTGCAACCACCTCCATGGGCTAACATGCCCCTCCTTTGGAAAGGGGGGAGAGACACAGACTGCAGAATTCTAAGGACTCAGATTTAGGGAGAAAGGAGGCAGAACTGCAGTGCTGATTGAGGGAGTAAGAGATCACGTGGAATGCCTTTTGCAGAGCATTTGCAGGGAACCAAGTTTCCTTAGTGTCACAGTTCATCACATTTCTGTGAGGAAAATGAACTTCTGGGGATTTTCTCAGTCCATCTAAGTATTATCTTCAAGCAATAATAAAGGTCGTGATACAAAGAAGTGAAATTCCCAGCATAAATCAGCCGGATTCAAGAACGACCTGCCCCAAAGGAGAGGAAAGGAGAGGAGAAGAAGATCCCAAACTGGACTAGAATAGAACCATTCTCTTATTAATAATTGCTAGAGGATTATCACCAGTTTCTCAGTGAGGAAATGAAGGATGGAATCCCACGGCTTCTCAATAATTCCACTGCCTGTGGAGCACCTCCACTTAGATCAGCAGGTCACAGCCCTGGCTGCACCTTAGAAATGCCTGGGAAGATTATTTTTTATGGCTTCTCTTAAAAATATTTATTTATTTTATGATAAAATACACATACCAAAATTTACCATCTTAACCATTTTAAAGTGTACAGTTTAGTAGTGTTAAGTACATTCACATTGATGTGCAACTAATCTCCAGAACTCTTTTCATCTTGTAAAACTGAAACTCTATACCCATTAAACACTAACTCCCCATTCCTCCTCCTGCCCCTGGCAACCCCCATTCTACTTCCTGTCTCTATGAACTTGATGACTCTAGGTACTTCGTATAAGTAGAATCGTATGCTATTTGTCTTTCTGTGACTAGCTTATTTCACATAGCACACTTTCTAGGTTCATCCATGTTGTAGCATGTGTCAGAAATGTGTCATTTCACTGAGCTCTGTCATAACTAAATCCAATCCTGTCTGAATGTGCACACTCTTCTTAGAGACTGCTCAGTAAAGGGCTTCATTTTCTAGCCCTTCAATGTCCAAAAATGATTTTCCCATTATAATAGAGGCTTTTTATATTGTTAATAAGCTTCTAGGAAGAAAACAGAAAAAGGAGAGTTTTCTGTCTTTGATCTATGAAGTCTCTCCTGTGAAACTTCTCATCTCTCTTATCCCCACAGTTCTAATTACCTTAAGGCATAAAGTATATTCTGCTTTTAATTTTTTTGGTAACAACTTTACTTAGATAATTCACATACCATAAAATTCACCCTTAAAGTGGCTTTTAATATATTCACAGAGTTCTGCAACCATCACCACTATCTAACTTTCTTTAACATTTCATTACCCCCATAAGAAATCCCACACCCTTTGGCAGACACTCTGCCTCTTCCCAGAGCCCCTGGGAACTACTAATCTACCTCCTCTCTGTGGATTTGCCTATTCTGGATATTTCATATAAATAAAATCATACAATATGTGGTCCTTTGTGACTGGCTTCATTCAATTCGCATCATATTTTCAAGGTTCATCTATGTTGTAGTGGGTATCAATACTGCATTCCTTTTTCTTGCTAAACAATATTCCATTATATGGATACACCACACTCTGTTTATCCATTCATCAGTTCCTGGAATTTGGGTTTTTTCCACTTTTGGGCTATGATGAATAATGCTGCTCTGAACAGTTACATGCAATGTTTTGTATGGATGTATATTTTCATTTCTCTTGGGTAGATACCTAGGAGTGGAAACATTCTGCTGTTTTTTAAAAAATTATGACCTCGTCTAAATCTTCCTAACAGAATGGAAGCATGTGAAGGCAAAGATTCATCTTTTTGTCCCTGGAAGTACTTAGAAAAATGCTAAAAACATTTGTTGACTTGAGTGCACTTAGTTTGCATTTCTTGTGTCAAAATACAACCGTGTCTAAGCTTGGCACTAAGTGCATGCACAGCATTCTAGATTTTTACTCACTGGCTATTCTACTAACTTCATCTCATCTGCCCTCACTTGAAGGCCTCGGCCGGGCCCTGGAGATGCCCCTCCCTGCTGGGGCTGCACTGACCTTGGTTTTTTGATCCCCATATCAATTGCCAATCAGTTCCTGGCCTTTTTCCCGCCTCTTCCCTACAGCCTTATCCTGTGGCTTCTAGTCCTTGACTTTCTCCCTATTTCCATCTTTTTTTGCTTTCCAGAGCCCCAGTGTGAAACTAGGGCTGTCTTTAAATATGATTTAAATATTATAATAGGAAGCACTTGGGAGGTAAAGAGAGCTATGGATGTAATCACTCGTCAATAGTCCTCAACTTCTTTATATCATAGCCGGAAGAAACTCGAAAGGAGGTCATTTACTGGAGGCGGTCCGCACAAAGGAAGTCAGTTCCTGTCTCC